TCATCACGAAGCATTTGAATGCTTTTGTTCATCTCCAGTAAAGTGAGATGCAGTTGTTTAGCACTTGTATCCTCTGCTGTGTGTTCAGGCTGATTTGCCGAAGTCTCTGGCTGGGGCTTCTGGATGGTAACAACACCTGCCTCACTCCATGCTGTCCATTGAGAGAGTGCAATCTGGGTCACTTCAGCAACATCACTGAAGTCAAACTCTTCTTTTGTTTCTCTCAGTTGAAGAATTCTTTTGGCTTTAGCTTGTCGAATGTCATCCAGTGACTTCAAGTCCATCTCTGAGGCGTTGCACAGATTGATTGGTTTACTTGTAGCCATTATCAATGATAAATATTTTATTTTTCAAAATATTTACAAGATAGGAAATAGAATAATAGCTTAGAGCAAAAGCAGAGCCAGTGGCCCCCAATACCTACACAATGTATGGGGCTATATTGTCAGAACTTACAATCTCAATGATAGTACTGCTGATACTTTTCTTTTCCTTTTTTTGTTGTTGAAATAATTAACCAGAGAAAAAGAAAAAAATACTCAAGGAATAATCCAAATTTGAGAAACAATTAAAATTATATGACACGTTATGCGCGCCGTATATTAAAAGCGAGGGAATTTAAGTCACGTGACTTTTCTTTCTAAAATGTTGATGCAGTTAATAGTCGAATATGAAAATTAATACATTCATTAATGTTCTGACAATATAATTAATACTAAAAAACTATGGTTTTAAAACGCATACACTTGTATTTATTTGTTACGAACCACCTTGTGAAACATCAACAGTAGCAAACACGTGGTTCGTGAGATGCTCGGTGATTTCACAAGAAATTATTGCAATTTGGTAAGCAAGAAAAGCGTAATTTCGCAGATTCCACAGATACCGGCGACGCCAATGTCGTAATGGTCGGTGAATTACCTGACTAATCCCTCCAGATTATGTCTAATTGTATGACAGGCTATGTCGAAGACGTCTGGCAAGACGGAGGTCAGGAGATCAATGTTATTCTAGATAGGTCGTACACGGATGAGTCGGGCTGTGGTACCACAATACCAGTCTCTTTTGATAATACTTCTGCAGTTCTAGAATCAAAAGAAAATCAAGAACTTGATTCTGAAGACTTCTCAAGACTGATTGATGATGTAAAGTTCCAGTACTAACAGTGACACTAGATTGACTGCACCTAGTCAGTTAATATCAGAAAGAGGGAACTCATTTGCACAGTATTGCATGCAAAATGGAATCTTGGATCCCACAGACATTTGCGCTTATACCAAAAAAATTGTAATTGGGCGTAAGTTAGATATAGAAGATGAGACAGCAGCACTTGAAGGTGAAACGAACTTCATTCTTGTAGATAGACGGAGGTTACTAGACTCTGCTATAGATGAAATAACAGACTTTGACATTTTGTGAACATGTCTCGAAGTACAGTTCTATGGAGAAGTAAGCTAAATATTCCTGGATATTTTTTTATTTTTTGTCCTATTGTCTTCATCACAATGATTTTTAAAGTCTCAAAAATTCATTTAAATTATTTATTAATTGACTGGGTTCGAGAGCAAGATGCGTTTTGCTCATTTAACATTCCAATGCTGACTGAGAAAATTCTTTAACAATGCTTACCATTTTCCACTCTTTGGACCTGTCTTCTATTATTAGAACCAGACAGAAATGTAATTGAGGGATCCAACAGACACACTAATGCTGTTGTTGAACGCCTCTTTTCAACAGTTAAAAAAGAAATTATCCCTGACAACCAAATATGCGTATAGAGGAGAGCCCGTCAGAGTGGTGGTGGGGCATAGAAATCGAAACACTGAGCAGCTAACAGAGTACCAGGAGTATTGTAGCACCTTAGACCTTTTCAGCATGCCTAGTCCAGCTTTAGCCGATGACTTTCCCGATGAACAGCAGCAGGAAGACCTTTTGGCCATTCCAGTGTCGGATTTGACCCTTCCATACCCTGTTGATGATAAAAAGTTGAGGCCACTGTCCAAAGGTCTCTTCTCCACCAGGGAAATGAAAGTGGAGTCGAGTCGAGAGTTGGCATCATGGGCAGTCCAGTTACTTTGACATGGCCTCCAACTGAGTGGAAATTCTTGCTCTTCTGAACAGAAAGAGATAAAAATAGAAACAGAAAAGTAGAATATCAGATGTAATCCTAATCTTTGAAATAAGGACATTGAACAACATTCCAATCTATTTGGAAAGAAAAGGCTATTTTCCTTAAGAAGGAATTCATGCAAGAATTAGTTAAAATCCTGCAGGGCAAAATCGTGGAAACAAATGACCAATTAAGAGAAATCGGTTTCGGCTCTTCAAAAAATCGGAACAGCTACCTCTTTCTCAGGATTAATCCGAAACGAGCTTCATATTCGCATGAATGCCAGCAAAGAGAGATTTGATAAAGAACTTTTGCAATTTTGCACAGCTATAGGATCCAAACCAAAACAAGGGACTAAAAAGTACAAATCTACTACCTCATACAGGGCAGGCAAACGGCATAAAGGACGGAATATTCGCCTTAATAAGTGACTATATTGTCCAATTATAAAAGAGCTAGAGTCAAGAACTACGGAAATGTGCCTTAGCTCAAAAATTAATGAGGTTTTCAATATAGATAGTGTAGTCTTTTAGCTTTTCTTTCCTGTTTTCTTTTTAATGTATCTGTAACACTTTCTAAAGAGGAGATTTTACAATATGGCATTTTTTAAATTGAAATTTGCGTGATGAATTATTTATAACGTAACGGCATTATATTACGACCTGGAGAATTATACATTTTGTAAAAATCAATTATATGAATAAAAGTAAATCTACACATTGTATGTAAACACGCAATGCTGATACACTTACAACTGTACGTATACAAATGTTATGATTTACTTCGGATGGCAACAGGCTTACTGATTAGTTGATGCGCTGATTGGTCTACGCGTTAACTTGATTGACAGTTCTGTTATATAATACCGAACGCTTGGTGTGCTCCTGAAATCCGGGTTCGCTATCAGCGTTCGCTCTGGTTTGGCTGCGGGTTCCCTCAGGGGTCGCTCGGGGTCAGTCCTAGCGGAAACAGAGCGAACACGGAAAGCAAAACCCAGGGTTCGGTTGGGGTCCGCTTTCTGTTAAGTTGTGTCTGGTCGGTACTCTAGGTTCTATCATTTCTTTTTCAGGGGAAACGACTACATCAGATATAATGAGATATTTTACAATATGATATCCTTATTTCATATCCTCTATTCACGAGGACGTGAAAACTGTTCATCTCTAGACTTGGAGGTTTTTATCTTACCATACCTTTATTTTCCAAGATAAAATCGACGGTAGCTCAGTCGGTAGAGCGCTCGCTCCGTGATCGGGAGGTCGTGAGTTCGAATCTCGGCCGCGACTGACCTAAGTCGATAAAAAATGGGTAGCAACTGTTCCTCCGCCATGCGCTCGGCACTTTGAAGTGAAAGTTGCGGGTCCTTCGGATGAGACCTTAAAAACTGAGGACCCGTGTCACGGCAGGCGTTGGCACGATACAGATCCCTCACTGCTCAATGGCCGTGAGTGCCGAGTAAAGGTCCAAATTTGAATCCTTTCACCGGTATATGGTGACGTCTCTATATGAGTGAAAAATTCTCAAATGGGACGTAAAACAACATACAATCAATCAATCCAAGATAAAATCTAATTCAGTACAAGTTTTAGCTTTCCTAAAAAGTTTGACGTGACAATTTATTATCTGAAAATTTATTATCACGCGAAGAATCAGAAAAGTTAAATCATGTGTATCAACCTGACTCTAAGAAGCAGTGAAAGTTCAATTCAGTGGTTTCAACATAAAATAAAACTTGGACATGAATTTATTCTGTATACACTGTTATATTTTTTTCATGGCCGTAGGAACAGAGGGGGATTCCGATTTATACGTAGCTACTTTATGCTTGTGTCTAAATCATGTAAATAACTGATAACCTTTTTATGCTTAAATAGAAATTTTTCTTTGGTAGTGCACACCCTTAACTGAAAAGATTTGGTTGTGCACCCCTTCCCCCGTAAAATTTCTTCCAACGGCCCTGTTATACAGAATAAGAAATTTTTATTTAAAATCGTTTTTTGGGGGAAAAAATAACATAAGCTCTGTAGAGCTTTTGACTGACATGATTAGTGAGACATGTATACATATACATAAATCACAAATACATATTTAACATAGTTGAAAAAACAATGACATGCTTAGATATAAAGGGTTCTTTTGAAAGAAAAAAACAAGACTTAAAAATTGCTAATCATTTCAGCAAAAGAATGTTCAAGCTCTATCTTTCATTTTCATATTTTTTTAACCATGAATAAACCAGTCAAATGTCTGCAAGTTATGAATTTGTTTGTTTGTTTATATATTGTTAAACGTCCCTCTCGAGAAATTTTCACTCATATGGAGACGCCACCACTTGCCGGTGGAGACCAAAACTCGGCACTCATGGCCATTGAGGAGTGAGGGATCTTTTTCATGCTAGCACCTTCTGCGACACGGGACCTCGGTTTATAACGTCTCATCCGAAGGACCGGTGTTTACGTTCCGCAGTGGGATTCGAACCCTGGAAGTATTATGAAGATGTGTAGACTTTATAAAAATTATAAAGGTTAAGAGACTTGGTATGCAATTAAAAATAAGAATCCATTAGTTAATCTGATAATCAACAGGTGTTGACTTGACCAGCTTTATTCCTTCTGCTGGCCATGAATGATGCATCTGAGAATGGCCAAATGTTATAAAACATGTAATGTATAATGTGGTATGAAAATGACAATAGCCAAAGGACTTTTGGAGGAATCACCTACAGCTTGTTTGTTTTGTTTGTTTTTATGTACTACAAAGATATAAACTTGGTGAATTAATCCTTATCTTTAAACAATGCACATTTAAATAAGTTTACTGTATGTACAAGGACATTGACCTTAGCTCTTTATATACAATCTTTAAGCTTCACTATATACAGCTATGATATTCAAGAACTGTCTTTATCTTTTATGTCAGATCTTCCTTTCCTCCCGATGTTTTTTTTCTTGTCCTCTCTCTTCCCCTTTGACATGATAACCTAAAACACAAACATGCCCAAAAAACAGAACTGTTTGGAAATATTAAAAATTAAATTAAAAGTAATATGTAATCTTGCAAAATATTTTTTACAATGACTGCAAAATACATCAGGTGGCCAATTCACTAAAATAAGATAATCTGATAAATATATCTATCAATTTTTTTTTCTTTCAAATTTTGAAATATTCCAGATACATGTAAACATCATGTCAGTAAGACTGAAGAAGAAGTGGTATAAAGATTATAGTACATAAGAAATTGATAATTATTAATTGCAAAAATAGTCAATAACATTTAATTGCTAGTAAAACAAAAAAATGATCTGAAAGAACACAGAATAGTATCTTATAATCGTCTAATTCCTTGTGTACCATTTCAAGACGATGGCGGTTGATCTCTACTAAAACCTCTTCAGATTTTCTTTGTTTGCCCTCCAACTGTGGCAATAGCCAAATGGCTCCTTCCAGAGCATAGTCATTTAGTGAATGCTCATCATCTTTGACTACCTGTAGATATTGTAAGTAGGATATCCACCATCTAAACTGTCCTTCATCTGACATGTTATATACTGGTGTTTCTGAATGTTGTTTCTGTTTGGTGAGTCTGTCTGCTTGGAAATTGCTTGGCAGAAGAATACGAGGTTCATCGAGTGAAATGCCATTAAATATTCCTTCTTCTCCAGTTGTTTTCCATGTCCTATTGCTGTTGGTCCTGTACTGCATTGTGATTTTTTGGGTCTCATTTCTACTGAATTTAAAAAGAAGTGGTTGAGAATGATGCTTGATTTCACGTAAATGTGGTTGCAGCCATGATTTTATATCAAAAAGGCCTCTTGATTGTTTGGCCCCATTTAAGATATTTAAGAGTTTTGGCATAGTCTCGGTTTCACATCTTCTCAGTCGCATGGCTAAATGTGAAAATGCTGCATTAATATCTTCATGGGTGTGTCCAACATGGTGGAAGGACAAATGCACCTGAAAATTAACTTAATATTAACGATTGATTGATTATTATTGTTTAACGCCAAATATTAACGAAGGATACCATTTAAACTTGTTCTCAAAGTAGCATCAAAATGAATTAAGAATAGTATTCTGTATTTTGTCTCATTAATTTATGCATGTTGTGCACGTACCTCATGAAATATTGATAGTCTAACCAACAATTCACAAAACCCTAGCACAAATCTGTTTTTATTTTCTCTTGCACAATTATCGGCTTGGATGTACAGCCTCTGTGGCAGGTATCCATCCTGAAAATAGACATATTTTACATTGAACTTATTTAGAATCATTTAAGTTTTCCAAGATAAATAAAATCACATCAAGCTCATAATTAATTAAACATCTTTCTAAATGCTGTCTAAAGCATCAAATCATATATCTTGCCTTTGAAATGGAATTGTGGATTGTCTTTAAAATAACATTCATCACCAAGTTCGAGTCATGACAGTATTCGTTGATGTCAACATAAACATCGAATGTTCCCATCCCGTGGTTTAGTATTCCTTGTACATGGGTTTTCAGAAAGCTGTTTGGGTCTATTCCCTAAGAAAATGTGAAATTTCAAAAGCCAAGGAAAGTCAATGGCATACGTTTTGCATGAATAACATAGATTATTCTAACCAATTAATAATGAAGCATTTTGTATTTTGTTCTAAAACTTAATAATAGATGGAGGCAAATAAATGAAAAGCTTTTTCTAGAGAAGTAGTATCTTAAATCCAAAGTTAATGTTACTTGTCAGTTTGCTGGACTTTTTTTTCCTTCCCCTCTTTTTAAAATGTTTTTGCTATTACCTTCATAAATCTTCCAGTGAAATGTGGCAAATTTGTCTTACCTGGAATATATACAGAACAAAAGTGTCAATTGATCAATTTTCATTTTTAAGCATACAAATAAAGAAATTCAATTTGGAATATGGAATATGGGACCACAACTTTAATGTATTGGAAAATGGATCAGGAATTTTAATACCCAAGTACAGAGGAGGACAGACCGGGGCACTTCCAAGTCAAAATCCAGGCCAAAAGATACAAAATGTTGGTACCCAAAGAAAGGTCTTGGTCTCGAGGAATATACCTGTGAAATTTTAAAGCCCTAGCTGCAACTGTTCAAAAGTAATGGCGAAGGTTAAAGCTTTTTAAAAGTAAAATGTCAAGGTCAAAGTTGTTGGTATCCAAAGAAAGGTCTTGTCACAAGGATCACATATGTGAAGTATGAAAACCGTAGCACCAACCATTTAAAAGTTATGGCCAAGGTTAAAGTTTTTCAAAAGTAGGTCAAACTCCTATGTCAAGGTCAAAGTGGTTGGTATCCAAAGAAAGGTCTTGTCACAAGAATTACATATGTGAAGTGTGAAAGCCCTAGCTCCAACCATTCAAAAGTTACGGCCATGGTTAAAGTTTTTCAAAAGAAGATCAAACTCCTACTGTATGTCAAGGTCAAAAGGTCAAAGTGGTTGGTATCCAAAGGAAGGTCTTGTCACAAGATTACCTAAGTGAAGTATGAAAGCCTTAGTTCCAACCGTTCAAAAGTGATGGCTAAGGTTAATTTTTTTCAAAAGTAGGTCAAACTCCTAGGTCAAGGTCAAAGGGGATGATATCCAGAGGAAGGTCTTGTCACAAGGAATACACATGTGAAGTTTGAAACCCCAAGCACCAACTGTTCAAAAGTTATGGCCAACGTCAAAGTCTCATAAAATTTTGCAAAAGTGGGGGAAACTCCAAGGTCTAAAGGTCAAATATGGTGGTACCCAAAGAAAGGTCTTGTCACAAGGAATACACATGTGAAAAATGAAAGTCATAGCTCCAACCAATCAAAAGATATGGGCGAGGTTAAAGTTGACAACAGACAAACGGACAAACAGACAGGACAAAAACAATATACCCCCGGGATCTTTCGATCCGGGGGCATAATATTTCTCGTATTTTTTTTCTTTTTTTCTTCTTGCATGTTTTTACGTGACGTTTAAAGTTATCTTTGAGATTAATTTTCTTCCAAAAAAACTGCACTCTAACGATACATTGTCTACATGTAATTTCATGTGACGCCTTGTAAATACGTTACAGAATTTCTTGCCGCACTTAGTGCAAGTGTATTCCATGACAAGAAGTGAAAGATTAACCTGTTCTTGTCCTATGTATTCAATTTCTTATGACTTTGTTTAACTAACACTTTGAATTATGTTATTATTATTAATATTTACAATACATTTCATAATAAAACATCCTTGTTTGGGTAATACAGTTCCCGGATACGTCTTTCTCCAATTATTTAAAAATTAGATAGGAACGGGAGAGTTTACATTGCCTTACATAAAAAAAACATAACATCCTTGTTTGTTTAATACAATCTTTCTCCGATTGCTAATGAATATACTACTGTAAGAATTCTTTCTTTTTCAGTCCTTCCAGTCTCAATAAAATGCAATTGTGGAAAAACTCTCAAACATTCTCTGTCAACTAGACAAAATGAGAGAAAATGAAGCCAAGGACAATTCTTCGTAAATTATAACATTGTAAATTTGTTTGTTTATTTGTTGTTTAATGTCCCTCTTGAGAATTTTTCACTCATATGGAGACGCCACCACTTGCCGGTGGAGAGCTGCAAATTTTGTCCTATACTCGGCACTTACGGCAATTGAGCAGTGAGGGGTCTTTTTTCGGGCCAGCACCTACTGCGACACGGGAGCTCGGTTTATACGGTCTCATCCGAAGGACTGGTCTCCACGTCCCACAGTGGGATTCGGACCCGCGACGTAAGGATCAACTCCTTACTTCGCGACTCTAGAGTACACGCTATAACTACTGCGCCACGCGGGCGACAACATTGTAAATAGAGAAAATGTTAAATAGAGATAACAAAAAAGTTCCTATGTAGATTTAGTTCTTTTAATTTCACCAATAATTTACACAATCACAATAAAGGTTACAAGACAATTCAGATTTTAATCATTACAAAAATATCTGAGGAAAAAGTTTGATAATTTCGTTTACAGTTTTTTTTCTTCTCCAGAAAATAAATAATTTAACAAATAATGCTTAATGTATTAATAAAGATATGTGGTGGTCAGGAGAGGAAAAACTAACTTTCAAAAGATATGATTATTTAACAAAACAGTGACAAAATTTCAGTTTTCAAAGAAAAGATGACAAATTTTCAAAGAAAAGTGATGATGAAATTTGTAGTAATCAAGAATAGTTCGTGTATCAAGAAATGCAGTCCATTTCAAAATATAAATAATCAAAGGGCAAGTCTATTGGGAGGTCTTCTAAGCCTGGTTGAACGGCGCAGCTGCTGCCTGGGCTGAGGGATCGGTGGAGGTGTGGGTGGACGAGGAGGTTGTCCGACTGGGTGGTCATCATGAATCCACATAGTTTGTCCAAAAAGTAGAGTACTGCAAAAGATTAATCGTTTTTAAATTCCCTCATTACCACAGCATAAAACTCCGTAAGGGATTGGGAATCGATGTCAATTCTAGGTTGTTGACACTTTCTCCGAATGGCGCACGTAACGACATAGAACGACAAAACTAACAGAAGAATTGTCACGCCAATGCTAACATTTATCCACGGTTTGTCTAAATATACGAAAAAAAAAAAATTAAAAAAGCTTTAGAAGCTAGTTATTTGTGGAGGGGAAACTTTAGAAGCGAAGCTAGTTAATTTTGAGGGGAAAAACTGTAAGCAATTTTTTAACTTCAGTAATATAAAATACTTACTGAATGTGATTGCGACTAGTTCAACCGTCCTTGTAATGCTCTGGGAGGATTCGGTGAAGGTGTCTGCAGTCCAGGTGCTCTGATGTTTGTTCTAAAAAATAAGGTTGCTTGAATTAATTCTAATTCTTAAAAAAATGAATTAATTTTAATTCTTAAAAAAAAAATTACAATTAGTCTATTTACCTGACATGTCTGTCCATTCATCTGAATAGTCGTCCAAGAGTTCCTTAGAATTCCCTCGCATTTCACATTTGAGTGGCGGACAATGAATCTCTGGAGATGCTGAAATTTTAGCAAATTGACATCCCCTCTCAATCTACTGATGATGGCGACTGTTGTAGCCTAAAAGTTCCCCTCTTCAAACTCCATGAAGTCCCCACACCGAACTGTCCCTCCGTGCGCCAGCAATACAAGAATTAACACTAGAATCGTCTTTCTGATTTCAACACGTTCCAAAGATGAAAGTCGAAAATCTCTGCTCATCCCTTTTATAATAAATGATAACCCATTCAAATAAGGGGTGGAATAGATTATTGTTGGATATAAAAAATTACGATATTATCATTATTATCTTTGATTTTAATTAATTAAATTTTGGTGACAGCAGTTTTCATACTATATACATCAAATATAGAACTTTTATCTAATTAAATAACCAAAACCTTTAAAAGGAATACTTAACACCCCTTATTATTAAAATGGAACTTCTCCCTGACCACTGGAAGTGTCTATGTAGGTGTAGTGGTGAAAGAGTTTGAAAAGTTCAAATTGTAGACAAAAAGAAATACAACTGATTTACCAATGCGTTAATTATTAAGAATAATGAAAATAATAGATATGTAATTTAAATATATTTTAATTTAATAGAGATAAAAAGGCCTTGTTTCGTAAAATTCAATGCTGTCGCCTCTTTCTAAAAGTAGAATAACCCTGGCGCTAGCGCCTCCTTTGATGCTAGCCGAAAACTGTCCCTCTTCTAGCGGACCAGCCGCGTCTGGGTGTTATGTCATGTGTATATTTGTCTGTCTGGTAGGTTTGATGGGGGTAGTTATACACAGTACATTTTAAGGAGATTAGAACTGAAGATTACAACTAAATTTTCATAATTATATTATCTTTTATTTATTCATTAATAGTAAATGATGACATTTTTTAAACTGACATTGTTTTATTTTACTTATCATAATTAGTATCATTATCTGGTTGTCGAGCATTTACGTCGGTCACCCTTCAAACTGGACTTGTCCAAATAAAACCTTAGTGCGTAATTCTACGTTATAAACATTGGATGATATACACATTTAGAGAGAATGCTATAAGAACCCCCCCCCCTCCCCCTTTTCCCATTCATGAAGATACACTAGTTGTTTGCCAAAAAAAAGTAAATCAAACCTATTTTAAGATACTACCAATTAACGGAGAAGTAAATTAAATTATTATATTTTAAAATCATAGTAAAATAGAGTAATAGTTTTTTGCTTATCTTTACTGATCAAGTTACCCTCCCCCCTCCCCAACCATCTCACTTTTATGAGAAAGACATCATCTGAAAGAAAGGGAAAAAATTATTTTTAAAAAAAAGTCTATTTTAAACATATAATATTATTCATAATTAATCAGTATAAGAATTTAACTGTTGCAATGCCGCTTCGACTGAGCGGGCACATGCTGTCCAGCAGCAAACGAAAACATTGCATACAGTATACTAATTGTTTGCAGGTATAACATATACAACTGCAGAGTTTTGTTTCACAACACATTCTGCAGGTAAACGAAGAGAGCGGGAATCGCATATATATATATCCCCACTTCATACTTCCTTTTCTACTGGTTCTTTGGGGATCCATAATAATACGTTCTTATTAATGTGTTGTTAGGTGTATAATGGTAGGTTTTTGTTTGTTTTGTTTTTTTTTTATATATAAAAAGCGTTTTTGAATATGTAATTTTAGTTTGTTATTACTTCAGTTATTTTTAAAACCAACGCTAATTCAAATGTAACCAGATTTGGTTTTAGCTTCGGTCTTAGGTACCACTCACGGCACCAATGTAACCGGATTTGATCGTATGAAAGTACTTCTTAACTCATTAAATAACACACATTTTCTTTATCAATA